AAAAAAAAAAAAAAAAAAAAAAGAAAGAAAGAAATCAGAAGTTGGCAATGACTGGTAGAGCTGTTGATATTCTGTACCTGTCCTGGCAGGAGGACAAAAATAAACAAGAGCTGCTGGCTATGTGTGAGGACAGCAGGATCTGTGACAGCAGAGCTCACCCCTGGCTGGTTTTTCTTAGCAAAGTGGGAAGGGGTGTTATATTCATTCAAATTGTCAGGAGACTGACAACTCAGAGGATTCTGGAGAGCAGCAGAGGGAGGAAGGAGGGACCCTAATGGGAACTTAGTAGACAGGGAAAGCTCCTGCTGGTGTTTTGAGATCTTCAGAATGTTGAGTTGGTGGAGGTGGTAGGGAAGTGAATGGGAGACCACTTGGCCAGGAGTGTTGAAACTTCCTTCTATCTCCCTCCTTCTCCTCTTCAGACCACTGATCTTTGGCTGGGGTTCACTAAGTCTTGAGGACTCTGCTTCTGTTCCAGACTGGAGCAGACACCACTGCCTAACATGTTGGGAAGCTGGTCATTGATGGCGACATTGGGGCAACTGGCACATGAGGTATGGGAAGAAGCATTGCATACTCCTGGTCAGCTAGGAACACAAGAGTGACAGAAAAGTAACCCTCAGAGTAAGAAAAGGACCCCAGTGCTGGCCAGTGCTCTGCCTATTCTCACCTATTCCCAGCCAGTGGCTGAGCCAACAGAGGGATCTGGCTTGTTCTCTAGGGCTGTTAGTGTGTTTCTGAGACCCTAAGACCTGATACACCCTTTGGGAGCTGGTTGTCACTTATCCCTGAGGCTGCTGAGCAATTGTTCTAACCAATCAGATAAGCCCTGCCAGGCAGTAATTGCCTCCCCATTCCTGACCCTCTAGCAGGGATTGAGCTCACTGAACTTAGAAACACTCTTGACCCCTAAGAGCCCCTGAGGCAATTCTGAAGTAGAGAGAGACCCAGGTCTCAGAGACTCAGGCTAAAGTAGAGGTGACCCTGTGGTGCTGACCCCTCTGACATCCTGCTGACCCTGTTCTTTCCTAGCTTCCCTTCCCTGCCAATATAATCTTGAGCAACCTGTGGCTATCTAAACCCCTTGTAAGCAGGTAAAGTATTATCTTTCTTTCCTTCACATCCCTTACCTCAAACCTACCCACCCCCCAGTCCCCTCTCTTTGGCTTAACTGAGCCGTACTAATCATCCTTCAGCCACCAAACACTGCGCTCTAAGCGTGTATATTTAAGACATGTCTTAATGAGAGACATAAGATGTCTCTCAGTCTTAAAGATCTCCAAGGTTCAGGAAAGTGGGTAATGTTTCTGCTCTTTCCTTCACCCCATTGGTTCTTTCTAACATCTGACCTTGGTCCTTTCGTTTTCGGTATTTGGAGAGAAATTACGTAACCAATGCAATGGTCAGGACTACCACGGCACTCACCATGTTCAATGCAGGGGTCAAGGTAACATCCCTGTTTCTATCTAGTAGATAGTGGCTCTGTCTTCTGGCTCCTCCCTCCTTCTCTGTGTGTCAGCTGCATCCAAGCCTAGCCACGCCGTGACATGGGCCTTTCTGAAATCTTGAAGGGAGTTAGACCATTCTTGTAACTGCCAGTACCACCAGCACAACTCCAGGGGGCACCATTCACCTAGAGTACATTGTGATCTTGAAGCGCTCTGGTAATCTGGTATATAAGTGAATGATGCCTCTGAATTAATTCCTGGCATAACTTACTGGAGTGTCCAGCGTGTCAGCTGTAGTGTTCATCAGAATAATAGCACTGTGTCCTTACATTTGAATGGCGTTTTCATTCCCCCGGGATACTTTGTTACTCCATTTGAGCCTTCTAAGAGCCCTACGAGTATGCCCCAGTGACCAGTTGGGAAAACAGAGGCACAAAGAAGTTGCAACAGCTAATTTGCGGCAGCCCAGTTCTCCTGTCTCTGACCTAGTGCTTTTTTGCGCCCTACGAGTTCAAAGAAAGCTATGCACTTAGGGAGTCTCCCAACCTCCAAGGAACAATCCCTCCATAGCCTGATTCTGTTCTCCAGTTAGACAGATTCCTCCTGGTCAGGCAAAAAAGTGAGATTTTACAACTGGACCTGGGAAATCACCAATCCCTGCTAGAGGGTCAGGAATGGGGAGGCAATTACCGCCTGGTTGGGGTTATCTGATTGGTTAGAACAATTGCTCAGCAGCCTCAAGGATAAGTGGGAACAAGCTCTCAAAGGTCTTAGGGTCTCAGAAACACACTAACAGCCCTAGAGAACAAGCCAGATCCCTCTGTCTTGGCTCAGCCACTGGCTGGGAATAGGTGAGAACAGGCGCAGTGCTGGCCAGCACTAGGGTCTTTTCCCTACTCTGAAGGTTACTTTTCTGTCACTCTTTTGTTCCCATGTGACCAGGAGTATGTGAGGAGTATATGTTCTTCTCATCCCCCTCAAGGATCAAACCTGATATGAGCTCCCTGCTACCACATGATGAGGGCCAACAGAGGCTCTGGCTGCCCCATCCTGAGTAAGCACTAACGTTAACAGCTGCAGAAATGTCCTGGGTGTGCTGGGAAAGAAAGTGCACACGGAAGGCTTCTAATGGCACAGCGTGGGGCCAAAGCAGAGATATTTGGATGATCAGAGAAAGCAGTCTTGCTCTGAACATTTCTGTGATGCCCTCCAGGACCAAGAAGCACGAAGGTCTCGCTTAAAGCAGAGACACTCCTTCAGCTGTGAATATAACCACATGTCACTTAGCTGAGAGAAGACAAGAGGCAGATTAGAAAAGCTAAGCCTTGGGTCCTTAAGTCAAATCAGCCAGCTCCGCCTCAGCTGAGGAAATTAGCATTTCCTGATCAGCGATCAGATGCAGAAGATTTGAGGTTGCTTCAAGCCAGGGTTTTATGGTTCTCTCTCCAGGTGAATGTCATCCCCCACCCCCGCAGACCACAATCAACTTCCGGATTCACTCTGCACAGACAGTCCAAGGGGTATGTACCATATGTTCCAGACAACTCTTTCAGCATCAGAGAGTTGCAGCCCTCAGGGCCCACGTTTAGTTGCAGTCCTACGGCTGGTCCAGTGTCCTGTTTGTTCAGCCAACATTTTTCAAAGGCACAGGTACTTCACTAGGATTGGAGACCTCTGATTTGGGAGAATGTGGGGTCTGAAGTGGAAGATGAGTATGAATAATGATAGCAATACCTGCAGTAAGACATTATATATATAACATTATATAAATGTAATAGGCTTGCTATGTATTTGGCACCTTTCTAAGGTACATACATTTTAATCTTCACAAGCACCCACCCTAAATCTGCATTTAACTGGTGAAAATTGAGGTACAGAGTACCAGAGCAATCAAATAGCATACCCAAGATTATGCATCTAGCAGTCTAGTTCCCGAGTTTGTGCTTTTAGCCACAACCCTAGACTATGATTATAAAAATTAGAGGTGAACAAATTGCCATAGGATCACTGCAAAGAAAGAAATTCATGCTACCTCTTAGGGTCAAAAAAGTCTTTTCTGTGGCTGGGCATGGTGGCTCACGCCTGTAATCCTAGCACTTGGGAGGCTGAGGTGGGTGGGTTGCCTGAGCTCGGGAGTTCGAGACCACCCTGGTGAACATGGTGAAAACCCATCTCTACTAAAAATACAAAAAATTAGCCAGGCATGGTGGCGCGTGCCTGTAATTCCAGCTACTCGAGAGGATGAGACAGGAGAATCGCTTGAACCCGGGAGGTGGAGGTTGCCGTGAGCCGAGATCACACTATTGAACTCAAGCCTGGGCAACAGAGAGTAACTTCAT